CTCATCCGAGTGTTCCATGGAAGTTTCAATTCCCGCTCTGGTTTTACGTGCTTTTCATTCAGTGGCGTATTTTGTCTGAAGGGCCAGGGGTACGGTTACCATACGTCCATTTTATTCCGGACATGTCCTCTTTCTTAGCTTTCCGTCCGGGAGGAAGGCGTCATATGGGATACGTCCGGATATTTTCCTTGGACATGTCCCGTCATTTTCAGATTCAAATTTTCGTCCGACTTCTAAGCGTCCTCTTTTTGGCTATCCAGAATATGGTATCCCGACTCGGGGGGGGGGGGGGGGGGGCAACAGAGCGGGGCGCCAAATCCCACCCGAGCAATATCAAGGGAGAAAATTACTGCCTTCTAGGGGCGCCAGCCACTGTCCCAAGGGTAGGGTTACCATATTTCGGACAGCGAAAAAGAGAACGCCTTGCAGGAATAGAAATTTCAAGGTGATAAAGGACGACACGTCCGGGGAAAATATCTGGACGTATGATAACCCCACCCAGGGGCGCCAAGAGAGAGGGGGGGGGGGGCTGCCGCTGTTTCTATTTCAATATAAACTGCCAACATGGAACGTTTTCTCGTTCAGCCTTTTATTGCAGCCACGTGCCACTTCAAGCAGTGCACGTGCTGACCACCATTCGTCCACGAGCCGCCACTGAGCAGTACCTACGAGGCAGTGTCCATCCGGTTCCTAGCCTCTTACCGTCGGACACCCTAATCTGTATCGAGTTCTATCCAGGTGCAATGAGGTCGATTGAATTATATAGAATTGCATTGAAAACCGTAGAAGTCTAAAGGTTTCTATACATTTTTTGCCTCGGGAGCCACCGCACCAGATGCTTCGGGGATTTTCCGTGAAAGAAAGCAGAGATGAATCCGGTCGTTCACGAGTGTCGACAGCCAACACCTAGGCCATGAGGCCGACACCTAGCCGACAGGCCATGGGGCCTGGCCGATCGCGTGCATGCGAATAAATGTTTTTTTCCTTCTTTTTTCGCATCTCGCCCCAAGACCGAACGTATGCAATTGACTCGGAATGCATCCAGCTGGCCATCGCAAGGCTTTATTTGATGATCAACCACATTCCCCGCGACTTAATATGAGAACTCCTTTCTCCTTCATTACAAGAGGCAGTATGCAGGGCTTGGGAACAAATATTAATGCAATCGAGCCAAAACTTCATCAACTAGGGGCAGTTCAACTTTATTGTATAAGTACAGTATTATAATTATAGTGAGAGAGCGTCATATTCTAGTCGTGCATAATTCGCAAGAACTTGTTCATAGCCAGTGTGTGACACTTTCATGCATTACTGAGGCAGCAATGGATTCCGTTATATTCATGATTGCATCAATTTTCGCCAATGTTTTCGAAATGTTAGCTTCGTCCATTTCCATCATATGGAAAATTGAATCCCATCCGATGTCACGAATAGGAAGCCTTAATATTCTTTTCGTCTGGTCCCTTCGGGCCCCTCGTTCACTTTTGTCATCGTCGGATCCGTCGCCACGGGTTCGAGCGTTACTTTGTCACTGTCATCGCTTAACGAAGTTCAAGGGGGTGGGAATGGCACGCTAAAATGAAATGAGTCCTTCGTCGACTCCCGTCCTTCCTTGCCAATCTCCTAGACCAGCGGTGAGCAAATTGGGGGGTGCGAACTTTGGCCTTTACCTTTTTTTTTAAATTGGAATTAGGGAGCATAAGGGTTCAAAATTAAATACAAAGGGAAAAAATGAAGAAAAGCACTACAAATGTAGGAAATCCCGAGGAAAAACCTATCAAATAAAAAAATAATAGATTATTTTAAAGATCAGATTCATGATGAACATTCATACTTGGTGTTATGTGAGGAATTCATTTTAATACAATATCCCTGATTCTTATAGGTAAAGTCGCGGGTGAATCGTTAATTAAATTATGAAAGTATTATTATTATTAACCTATAAAAATTAATTAAGAGCAGGTGTGCAGGCCTATGGATTTACTAATTACTATAAAGTAGGACTGTCAGGATAGGTTGATGCATCGATATTCTATCATCACTATGACTATCGATAGTTCGAGGTAACGATGGTTTTTTCGACCATCGCGATACATCGGCAACATTTTTGAAGGACAAATGGCCTTAAGTATCGAGACGAGTACAGAACAATACAGTCCGTACGGATGGGGAAAGGAAGAGGCATTTTTTCCTATTGCATTAGTTTCAAAAGCAGTGATTTTATTGAAGTTGAAGTTATTCTACAAAAACCATATATTCGTGTTTTCTATCTCATGTCAACTTGCTCGAAAATTGTCAGTTTCTTATGAAACGGGACAGGTGGAGAGGGAATGGGGGGATAGGGGGCGCTACCTGAAAAGTTTGCGCACCGCTGTCTTGCACTAATCTATTTGCGTCTCTAACGTTTATTTCGAGTATTTATTCCATAGGTAAGCTGAGAGTACGATTGCATGCCGTTCCGATTCCGACCACTTCGGAAGGGACTGAGGGTGCCGTGGTGGTTGACGGTGGCAGATGATGATGGCAGTCTTGACCGTATCGTTCCTGCTCTCTCAATGGCCGTGAACAATCCATTTCAACAGCTGCATATCAAGTTCGTGGTAGTAGGTGATTTCCAATAGGGGAGACCGGGACTGGTTGTAACATCTTTTAGAAATAACGCATTCGACGTGATACTAATAGGAGTTGAACTCTGGTTTATATCAATCGAAAGGTTGACATCTCGCCTATAATACCACGTCATTTGAAATCACTTATGTTCACTCACTTGGGAGCAATTCACGAATTACAAAGACTAGTCGAATATTACTTTTGACCCCATGCTCGAGGTTGGGTGCAACACATGCCGGGGTCGGTTGTAACAGTAATTATAATTGCTTGCAGTCGATAGATAAAGCAATAAAAAACGATACTAACGGAACAAGTATGCTATTTTTATAGCAGCACACAAAATAACGATTCTTGGCTATATAGTGCAACTTGCGGATGAATCAAAGTATGGAAAAAGAATAACATTTTAAGGTAGTGGGCCATACCTTGAAAAACAACAACCATAGCTTCATGTGTTGTAACTGAACAAATGCTTTCTGATAGAGAATGGCAAATTGCATTCCTGAAGAAATGAAATATGCAAAACGAGATTATTAAGCTGCAACATGATAGCCATGTAGCCTATAGTCCAAGTAATTCTTCCCTGGGTTCGGTCACATTCTTTCTAGACTTAAATACTCTCCAAATATCTTATTCGGCTTTATATTTTGCATTTAAAAGTAGATTAAACTCCATCATCGTCACTGTCACAATTGTGGCAAGGACAATATATGCCAGCCTACCATGAGTGTTAGGATACTCTTCGTGTGACCGATTCTTAGTGTTACAACCAACCCCCCACCTACTCAGGACAGAAAATGTTTGCTCACAGATCTTCCATGAAAAAGTGAGCCTCCAGAAACTGTACCAAATAAATAGGCATTAAAACCCACTTTCAACAATACTCCAATTAAATACTTAAATAGCACATGTAAGAAAGCTTTACAAATTTTCTGATGAAAAATGTAACTTACATGCCCCGAAAAACTATTTTATGAGTATTTTCCTAACAACGGTCAGCCTCGTGTTGTTTTGTGGCGGGCGTCAGTCTGAGTGGACAGCAGGCACCCTCAGTGCTGCACAGTGAAAAGGCATAGAACTATCACCCGTTGCAACCAGCCCTGGTCTCTTTTTTTTTAGTGAAAAATATGATTATTCGACTCAATCACGGTATAATTACTTGTGCCTGCATAACTGGAGTGACGAATACTTCAGTACTTTGATGAATTTATTTGGACAACACTAATGGGTGATAATTTATGCTGTACGCTTGCCTCCAAAGCATGTGCTGCGAGCGAGTCATCAGTGGATAATAGCGAACAATAGATACTTAGGAATTCAACTGTGATTGGTACTTGGATTAGGATTTCTAGTTGAAATATCAGGAGTTCAAAAGGTAACCCATTCTGCATTCATCCCACTGTAGTATACTAAACAAATATTCTTCAAGAAATGCGACGAGTGATATTTTTGCCATACCTCGGGATATTCATAGGTAGAGATGGAATGCACTTTCAAATACTAATTGCATAAATCCCGCACATATACATCTTGAGCCTTGGGTGCTGCGACTTACTACCTCACATAAGAAGAAAGTATGCTGGAATCCACCTGTCACACAAGTGAACCACCACAGGAAAAAATTCATAGTTTTATTTGCCGTCTAGACACAAAGAGGAATTCGCCAATACAACTTTCTCTTGATAAATCCGATTTATACACTGTACAGTCAAACAGCACTTCTTTGCTCATGGTCACACTCACTACAGAAGGGAAAAAATTATGGTCACTGTCCTGCAGCTAAGCCTATCTAATTACTGCATGGGTATCACCCCTTTCACGGAGGAAAATAAAGATTATATTTAAAAGAAAGCAAGCAGAGTGACTATTGCAACTCTCCGATCTGAGGCTCAGCTGCTTCAATCTGAGACAAAATAGGCTTCCCACATTCTATCTGTTCCGATTCTCTCACACAGGATTGATAAGAGAAATCAAACTCTAAAAATAAGTTAGAAGAAAAGCAACTGTTTCTTTTTTTGACATGAGAAAATCACGTTCAGTCATTGCAGCTCCTACCAACTTTGACAGGTACAACTGTATTTCTGAGACAATTTTCAGAACTCTCTTGCATCCATGCAAAGGGAAGAAGAATACCGGTATTCCAGTAGTAGGCTGCAGCTGCACAGACGAGTAGAAAAGCCCTCAGCTGATAATATCAGAGGGAACTGGTTTAGTAAAATCACGTGAGTTGCAAAAAAACATCCAGGGGGAAAAAGAATAAACATCATTGAGCAACCATGAAGGATGATGAAAATAAGACTGAGAAATAGCAGTGAGAGGAAAAATTGAGATAAGACAATGCAAACTGACAGTCAAGTCAGTAACTTGAATTTTGGGGGAACACCATTTAATCATCTCACTTCACAGCTTTCTTGTACTGGTTGATTGACCTGCATGGTGATGCAGGTGTCAGGGGGCTCTGGCATTTGGGTCACATAACCCTCAGGTCTCCTCGAGAGCTTCAATTTGATGGGCATCACTTTGACAAGAGATGAGTCTCGGTCCTTACGTGAAGACGAGGAGGAAGTCTCCTGTTCTGGCCGAGGGTGATGGTGCTGTTGTAACACTTTGCTCTCATTTGTCTCAGGTTTATCACAAAACTTAATCTCGTCCTTGACTGACTCTGCCCTCTTGCCAAAGCGAATGATGATCTTGGGTGCATTGGTGCTCTCACTTGTCAACACTTTGACCTGCTGAGGGCTGACTCCACACTCAGGTGAAGAACTCCTGCTACTCTTCACACTACCACCATCACTCGTGCTTTCATTGTTGGAGCCTTTACCCCCCACCCCCCCTAAGACCTTCTTTCTCCGTCTCCTCTGTGAGGGAAGGGATTTCAGTGGGACAGAGTCACCAACACCACCAGGATCTGTTTTGAACGTTGCCATGATCTTTGCCCGAAATTCCATGCTCTGTCGTTTCAGGTCCTCCAGTGTGGGTTTCACTGTGCTTCCACCATCTTGTTCTGAATCTTTACCCACAGCCACTGATTCTTCCTTCCCAGGAAGATCAGAAATGGTCCCTGTGAATTTGGAGCCCTCTTGCCTCACCACATCAGTCACTGGTGGAGGTTCAACCACACTGACAGGGGGAGGTTGCTCAGCTATACGTTTCTTTGGCGGTCGTCCTCGTCCCCGTTTCGCCACCATGTCCTCAGGTGCTTTGGCCAGGATGCCTCCAGCATCTTTTGCACTCTCATCAGCATTTTGGAACTCCTCCAGTCTGGCCAGATTGATTCTCAACTTAGGAGGAGGTTTGACAGCCTTCTCTTCTGTCTTGGTTTTTGATGGTTTTCCAATTGGCACAATTTCTTTCTTGATCTGCCCAGCACCAGACACCCGATCCCGCAATCGTCCTTCCATCTTGTCCTGGTCCTTCACCTTCCACCCCAGGTTCCGCAGTTCCCGTGGAACACCTCTGCGACCACGACGACCCTTAGTTTCCTGTTCGTTAGCCCCACCAGCCCGGAAAGCTCGATAATCCTCCCTGGTTGGGATGGTTGTCATTGATGTCACAGCTTTTGGGATTGTGATCACTGTCCTAGGAGTGATGGGAGTTATCACTGTTTGAGGGATGGCAGGCATTCCAGATGGAGCATCCACATTCATGTCTTGATTGCAGTACTGGCGGATGAGTTCCTTCTTGCGCATCCTTCGCAGTGTAGAAACTGTCGAGGGCTCACTTGGTGCACTGGGTGGTGCTGGTGCAGGAGTGGAAGAATAATTGGCATCCAAGAAAGGTCCTTTAATCTTTACCTTCAACTGATGTCTTGAATCTTCCAAGGGGATGGAGATTTCGGCCTGAGAAGTGTCTGAAGGAGCAGTTGATGAGGGTGGAGGTTCAGAGCTAACTGAAGCATTTGATGCCTCATTTGGTTGCACTCCTCCTGTCCCTCCAGCTGAACTATTCAAACGTGGAGATAGGGCTTTGGAAGTTGGAAGCTGACCTTCAGTCACAGGAGGTGGTACAACTGATGCATCTGCAGCCTGGTTGTCTGTTGATGGTGCTAGGTCCACCAAGTCCTTCCCAGAGTCAAAGAGGTTTGTATAGAGACGATGAGGGGAGGTGCTATATTGAGAACTGAAGGGATGGAAGCCAGGAAGTGGAGGCTGAATGGGAAGGGCATGAGGGAGGTAATTGAAACCAGGGAAAGGGATTTGTGCTTGGGATGTGATGAATGATGGGGGAGGAGGACTGCTGAGACTGAGATCTGGGAGACCCATCTGGTGCTTTGTACTTGAGAGATGATGATAACCAGATAGGATATCTGCTTCTGATATTGGGAAATGGGGAAAGGAAGAAGAAACTGGGATTGATGGATGAGGCCTCAGACTCTCATCTGGACTACTTGTTGATGGAGCAGATGTGGCAATAGGTGTGACTGTTGTGTCAGGAGGTTCAGATTCCTTGCCTGCTGGATGTCCTTCACTTGACACTGAGACACTCTGTGGTGCACGGTCTGAGTCCATAGATTCTGTGTTTGACAGGGAAACAGGTGAACTGGGCTCTGGGATTGATGGTGGTGGCGGCGGTGTTGTTGCTCTTGCAGCTGTTCTGCGTGAGCGTCTTCGAGGTGTTGAAGGGGGTGGAGGTGACGGAGGGGGTGAAGGGGGTGTCACATCCATCTTCTTCCCTCGAAGTTGTCGAAGTGGTTCCTCTACCTTCTCCTTTGGTTCCAGCTGGAAGTCATCATCATCCTCAAATTCATACACTGTGCCACTGAGACCACTCAGGCAAGCTGTATTGCTACTGCTTCTTCCAGGGCTGTTGATGCGTTTTCCACCTCGGCCCCGCCGCTGATTCATACTGGTAGGCATGAAATTGGCAATGTTGACAGCCACCCGGACAGGTGCAGTCTTCTTTTCCTTCATCTTGAGCTTATTTTGCAGCTCTTGAGATATGATCCGGCGAGGAGACTTGCTTGCACGGCATGGTGAGATGTCTACAGGTGGGGTCTTAGCTGGGGATTGATTTGGCAGTGGTTCAACCAGAGGAAAATGCATCTGATTCTCTTCCCTGGTCAACTGGGAGTGTATAGGAGATGACAAAGTTAAAGGCACCTTTGCTAAGTCTGTGGCTTTGGAAATCATGGTGGAAGGTGATGGAGGAACTTTGTCTCTTGGGGTCTCTGGTGGACCTGCCCAAATGTCATTCTCTTTATCTTTCTGGCCTCGGATGGTTGAGAATACAGGCTTGGTAGGTATCACAGGCTCATCACTTGCAGGTCCTAATGGCTTCCATTTACTTTCCCCAGGAGACTCTCCACCCTTGTTCGAAGTTGCTACTTCTGGACAAAGGGGAGATTGGCCCCTTGGAGGTGATTTTACTGCTTCACATGGCATTGTATTGGGCCTTTCACTCACCAATTCTTTTACTGCCTTGACAATTCTTTCACTGGCTTGAGATGTGGCTCGAGCTGTTTGAATCACCATGGGACGTATACCTAGCCTGGGTGTCTTAGTCACTGCAGGAAGAGAATGTGACTCTGCATGACTGGTTACAATTGGTTCACATGGCAGAGGGGTAGCTGATGCTACTGCAGGAGGCTCCTTTTGTACTTGTGGAAAGGCTGAACTAGCAGCAGGCTGAGTAGATGAACTGAGATTGGCTGGTGGTAGAATCTCTTGCAGCAAATCTTGGAATTGGGGCATGGATAAACCAGGTTGTAACATTTTGGGAGGTGTTTGTATATTAGGTGTTTGGATCAACAAAGAAGGATCTCCTTGCACATCCTCTACTGCTGGACAAGGTGGTTGTTTTAGCTGTGTCTCAGGTATGTCTGTGCCAGTGTCTGAGATCAATGAGTGCAATGATGTTGGGCCATGTGACACAAGTGGCAAGCCAATTTCTAAGTCAGCAACAGTAGACTTCTCCAATGATTCCACCTCATCCAAAGCTTTCCCTGCAGTCACTTTAGCATACTGCTGCCTCAACTTGTTCACCAGATTCAGTGTCTCCTGACAGCTGCCATCTGAGATGGAATGTTCTTTTTGCTGAACAGGCAGTTTTCCAGGGAGGAAGGATTCTTCAGTTTGACATTCAGTCTCATGATCAAGTTGCTTTGGACTTGGGGAATTCTCTTCCAATTTAATGGGTGTACTTGAAGATTCTGTGTGATGGATCCCACTCAATTGCCTTGGCTTTGGCAGCATTGTAGGAACTGAAACCTCTTTACTGATGGTTTCCTGAGGATGTACTGATATTGCAGGTGAGGAACTAGAACATGCCTTTTCAGTTTTATCGTTTCCCAAATCTAACTCAACTGGCTCCTGTGACTGATGTTTCTTTTCTGGCAATTGATCTGTTTTGTTTGCTATTGCAGGCTTTGTTTTGGCCAATGTGCTCTTACTCTTGTCTGACTGATCACTATCTTCATCAGAAGAACTGCCCGATGATGAAGAAGAAGAAGAAGAACTCTCATCAGATGAGCTGCTGCTCTCACTATCACTTGAACTGCTTGCACTGGAGCTGTGCTGGGATCGACTTGAGCTTGGACTTTTGACTGGTTTTGGGCTTGCCCTTGGGGTTACCACCCTCTTGCCCTTTTCTCCAATCAATGGTTTCTTCTCAGGTGATAGGAGAGGTGGAGAGAGCAGGGACTTACTGCTACTTTGAATCTTCCCTTCTCGCTCCCCTGATTCTTTCTTTTGTCTTGAAGCAGCTGGGCTGGTGCCAATTCCAATTCCAGCCCGTGAGACAGGAGTCTTTGAGTGGAGGTCCTGCTGCTTCTTCGCAGGTGGCGGTCCTGAGTCTCTCTCAGGCCGCCGTTCGGAAGTTTTAAGCTTCTTACCAGGGACCCGAGATAGAGACGTTTTTGTTGCATCCTTTTCCTTCATGTCCTCTTTCTCTTTTTCATTTTCTTTATCTGGTTCTGACTTGGGCACAAAGCCCAGCAGTCGATTGAATTCTTCATCTTTCTCCTTCTGAGTCTTCATCGGTGGCTTTGCACCTAAATCTTTGCGAATAGGAGAGAGATCAAAGTCTGAATCATCACTGCCCATAAAGATAGAGTGCTTGTCAGATCGTTTCTTCTTCTGTGCAATCTTCTTTTCGCGATCTCTTCGTGAAGATGCCTTGTTTCGTTCAATCAGAGCAGATAGTTCATCACTACTGATGTCGTCATCCAGTGAAAAATTACGGGGTGACTTCCCCTTTTTCATGGCATGAGTAGTGTCTTCAAGCAATTCCTCAATGATGTCTTTGGACTTGGAGATGTCTGTGATGTGTTCAGCTGCCTTTCGAGCTGCTTGCCTCTGTGGGACATATGACAGGATCCCTGCTTTCTCCCCTTTCCTCTCCCTTGAACCTGGTTTACTAGGTTTCTCTGAATGCTTTGAATGGCTTGCATCACCAGATGGTTTCCTCTGGGGTTTTTCAATCAAGATCTTTTCCTTTGACTGAGACTTTTTCACAGACTTGTCAACAGGTTTCTTGGACTCAGCAGGGCTAGATTTCTTCCTTGATATTAAAGGATGTTCCTCCTCATCACTTGATGTATCCACAATAGGTTGGCTTGGTCGAAGCTCACCTTTGACTGCAGGCTTCCGATTCTCCTTGCTCTGATTCTTTTTTGCTGAGTCATCCAGGTCCCTGTTCTTAGACTTTTTAGTCAAATCACCACCAGTTTCTTCACTTTTCCACTTCTCCGGTGGCACAGAACCTGAGAACTGCTTCATTGCAGCTTTGGTTTTGATGGTTGGAACCCCTGTAACTGGAGGTAGGCTGATGGAGGGGGAATTGAATTCCTTGAGTCGACTTCGATTGAGGTCGCTGGCGGAGGACGAATCACTGTCGGTGTAGATGTCCCTGCCTCTCCCCTCCCGAGCTGCAGTCATCTTGCGCAGCTCTTCCTCCTCGTCACTGGAGGACTCCGCCACTAGAGTAGGAGAGGCACCATAGGCGTTTTTTGACTGGGCCTTGTTGGCATTCCCGCGTGAAGCACTGCTCCGGAGTACTGAGCGAATGCTTGAATCTGTATCGCTGGCACTGGATGCACTGCGACTTGACATGCCATATCGTCGCCGTTCGGCCCCATTGAAATACTTTCGTCGATATGGGTTGGGCTCACTAGGGCCCTTCTGATGGATCAGCCCATTGAGATCTTTCTCCTGTGGGAGAAGCCCTTTGATGCGTGAGATCTGGTTCTGGAATTCCTCCATTGTGGGCCGAGGCATTGAAGGGTCTGAGTATCTATCATCATAGATGCTAGGCCCATGGTTCGCATGAAGAATTGCATCCATGTCTGAGGGACTGAACTCCACACCTTTGATCCGCAACAGAGTAATCTGTTGATGCAGGGTCTGCTCTCGCAGGCGTAGGTAGCTACGGTTCATCTTCTCTCTTCTGGTTACCATGTAGCAAAGATTTCTCACCTGAAATGGGAAAATGAAGTTTTATTTTGAGAAACAACTCAATCAAAATTGCTTCTCCTGCCTCATACTCTCATACTTCATGAAGCCCTAGATGGCAGCATTTATTGGGTTTGTGGGAAAATTCTGTCATTTTTGTTTATGTACAATTGGACTCATCTCCCAAACACAAATACGGCTAGTGATGACATCCTTTTATACTCTAATCCACAAAGATAAAAACAAAAACAATCAATGATTCATCACTAGCTGTATTTGGGAGATAAGTATAAATATACATAAGCAAAAACGACAGAACTTTCCCACAAACCCAATAAAATACTGTTAACAGCCTCTCCCATGCTCATACAAAAGATCAATTAAGTGTGAAAAGTGAAAGATTTGACAAATGCACCATCCAATAAGAATGCTGAAGACATGAAAACAAAGCAAACAAACCATGATCTGATAAACTACAACCTGACCTGTTTAAATAACTAATGTAAGGCCTTAGCTGGTTAAATTGTATATCAAATGCAGTAAGGGAAAACACTTCCTTCCTCTCTTAGGTCTTTCCCTCAATAGCTTTGGAGGGGAAGATAAAGCAAAAGACATGAGGGTAGCAAAAGCTACAGCAGATTTCAACAATTGGGGTGAGTGAATGAGAAGGTTTTGCAGGTATTCAAAATCCTACAACACTTTAATGCTTTAGTTTTGTGACTGTCACTCTTAGAGTCACTGAAAATTATTCTGAAAATTATTCAAGGATGGAAATAAATCATTTCCACCAAATGCAACACTTGCAAAGCAAAATCAAGGGATGCCTTTCACACTCTTTGGCTCAGGATGAGAAGCCGGCTCAAACCCCCCAGGTAAGTTAATCCAGTGCTACATGAAATACTTTGGAACAGGAATTCCCAATATTTGTAGTGATTGCATCTCGAAACTTTAGAAGGTGAAGTTTAAAGTTTAGACTAAGTGATATTTCCTTTGGAAGGGAAATAAATATAGTGCATTATTCCATAAGTCTCTCTCTTATTGATATAAATGTCCAATGTCATAAGGCTAACTGCAATATAACCAAAAGGGAAGGCGATTCCATAACGCACAATCAGTTTGTGCTAAATGCACTCACCCTTTCTAGGTCTTGTCGAAGATGAAGGAACATACGAAGTCGCTCCCGGTCCTGATCCTGTTGCTGAGGCAATAGTTCCACCTCATCAGGTCGTGGTGGGAGTAGAGGCTTGTTGAATACTGACTTCCGCTTCAGCTTCCAGTAATTGAAGATGAACTCTATCACTTCCTCATTCATAGAAAGGGATTTGGAAGCCTCCTTCAAGTTCACATGCTTATAAAATTCTGCTTCCATCTGCTGCAGCCTATAAAACAATACATGGGAAGTGAATCAGGATCCATCAAACAGTCAAGCCAACTTAGAGATGGAGAATCTGGCCAAGTGTGAACTAGATAATGAAAGAACTAGTGACATGAGCCCTTCATTCAGTCCTCCTTGCACGTAAGTGCAAAACCAAAAAACAAAGCTGCACATTAACACAAATGAACATATTCCTCACAAAGGTTCATTCTTAAGGGCATCCAGAGAAAAACAAATTTGCATGCCCATACAAAAACTTACTTGAGTGTCCTAGCCTGATCCTTCTCCAAAGACGTCATCTCTTTCTTCTTTTTCTTTTGAGGCTCGTCTGTTGGTTTAGGTTCAGGCTTCTTGCTGTGTTTCTGGCAATATGACTGAAAAAGTAAAGCATGATCATGTAGGGTATCACAATCAGAGCAATATTCAGATTTTGCACAATCACACGAGCTGAAAAATTCCAACTGCCATATTATAAACTATAATTAAAATTCCCTGTATGGTCATAGAAGCTGAACTTGAACTTGCAGAGGTAGTGACCTAACACTAAGTCTGACAAAAGCTCAAAGGGGCTGTAGAGGGAGCTGGGTTTCAACCTCATCAACCTGACCTGATGAATAAGGTTGCATGTTTCAAAGGAAATGACCAACAAACCTTGGTATATTTCCAGTTATGGCAGTTAATTTAAGGTAGTTCACTGTGTTTACTTCTTTAAACATCACTGTACCAACTGAGGATGCCAGTCAATAATTGAAAGATATGTTGTGAATTTATAAAAAATAGAAGCAAAATTAAGGAGTACCACATCTAAATTTACAGGAACCCATTACTTAACCAAGTTCACTAAGTCACAACTAGTTTCCATTTTCTGGTCCTTTATCCTGTTGCAAGACAATGAGAGGAATGGAAATGCATGACAACATGATTAGTCCATGGAAAATAATAGGCAATCCTAAGCTCACCTTCAGTCTGACATTCTCGCCAGTATCATCCTCAATGATGCACCTCAGTTCGAGGCCATGCTGGAAGCCACAAGTCACATGATATGCTGTCTTGCATGTCTTCACTGAACACTGAATGCAAGCACCCTCTCGCTGCTTGCAGAGACAACACACTAGGGACCATCGACTTCCCTGCATAAATACAAAAGAACTCTGTGCAAACATGCAAACTCTCCTCAACTTTGGTCGTATCTCTTGGGAACATGAACATCAATTTTTTTAGGTGTACATACCCAACCATGATCACATTTGACTAATCTATTGATACAGTCATCTTTATGATACATGCACCTGACTGACAGCTGATCTAAAGGATAGTAGTATGCAGCATTTAAGTATGCTGAGCACTAAGATACCATTTTCAATCTAATTTCTTTCCATTAATAATAATGTTCCAGAAGCCAAGAAAATTCATAATACATGGAACAATGTCAATACCAGCACATTCTCAACAGAACATATCAGGAAAACCCACAGGAATTTCGGAGATATTTGTGATGGGCTCCATTTTCTCGACGACACCAATGCTGACTTCAGGGATCCAGAGAGCACAACATACATGAGCCCACTTTTGTCCAGATTTTGTGGGCTTCATAGCACCACCCTTGTTTGGACACAGGACACAAGATGGCTGAATACCCAGAGCACAAGTCCGACACAGCCACGGTCCTCGAGGGATTGTCGTGATCCCATAACAAGCTTGGTGGACACACACATTGCAGCAATCACAGAAAACCATCAAGTTCCCATCTTCGTGGTCAGGCTGGAAACATGAAAAGGAAATGTTTTTCAGTCCATTATCATTTAAAGTACTCAATAATTATAGATACACCAATACAATGTGGCTAATATTAATATAAGAATGACCTCTAATACTTGAAAGACTTCATAGCTTCTGCTACATTAGGCAAATGGTACAGCTGATAATTTCATCAGCTTGGATGTTATATTCTGCAGCAGTGGCAGTAACAATAGCAACACAGAAGAATATGGAGTGATGCAAGGTTTATACCAACAGCAAACACTGTTGCAATCATACCTTGAAACAGAACAAATCAATCAATGTAAGAGCATATGTCATGAAAATTACTTGTCATATATGCATTGTATTGCATTTACAGGCTTGAATTTCTCAGTATTGCAAGGTGTGTCTTTTAAAAGTATACTGAAGTTTTAATGGCCTAGCCTATACCTTAGAGTGGTGTAGCCTGGTAGGCCTAATGCACAAGGCCTACAAGACTATGCCATTCAAGGCCATAAGAAATTGAGTATACTATTTAAAGACAATCCTTGTACATGCTCTGTCATGAAAGTAATGTCTGTTCCTTAAGCAATAGCAAAATATATAATGGTGTACCTCGACTTGTGAGCAAAGAAACATGAAAATGTAAAGGAAAGGGAGTATACCAGGAGGTTGAAGACAGACTGAAAAGTGACAGTCAAGAGGGATATACAGAGGGTCAGGAGAGGAAATAAAGGGTGAGCACCAAGAAGGTTCACTCTCTCTTGGACTCAGTGGGGAAAATGGATCCTATATCAATTCAAAGACAGTTTTTCATATTCTAGGCCTACAGTGATTAAGAGAAAATGGGTCTCTTTAACACTCACCGATCGGCACACATCACAGATCACATTTTCATCATATTCTATCCCTAGGCATTCCTCTTCTTTCAGGATGGTCTGGATTTGCCGCCAACACTGCTGCTCAAATTCTTCCACAGCCCTTTCCATGCTGGATTCCCCAACTGGAGACAGGCCTACATCAGAAAGGTTACATGAGAGCCATTATGCAATTTCATAGTTCTGTCTTGAATCTCTGTTTAAAGATGTAAGATGAGTGGTTTTAATGCCTATGTAAGAAATACATGAATGTGATCATATAGAAACATGGGAGGAGTGACACATTTCTTACTTATAGGGATAAGGATAGGAGCAAACTCTAATTCTATAGCCAGAATATTGACATGCAATTATTCTGAAATAGAATCTCTGCTGCTAATCTGTTCAGGTATTTGACACTATGCTTATAGATTTTATGATAGGTCATTAGAGAAACTAGTGCACAGAGTCAATTCCCAAGATGGAGGTTCATGACATTCTGACTAACTGGTTTGTAACAATCAACTTTAATTGGTAGAGCTCTTAAAGCAACTGATTTTGAATGGCACACAATTATATTGAATTTCAAGAGAGAGAAAGGATGCCAATGGTCCTCTGTTAAATTGAGTTCAGCCAGGGATATTACATATGCTGACAAAATACCTGCTATCCAAAGGTTGACATTGAGTAAACTGTTTTAAATTTGACTTTGCTAGACATTTTAAGCATTTTTTAAATACTTCTATTGACCTACATCATGATATGGATCTGACTGATTTACTCACAATCCAAAAATGCCTAAGCATAACATTTGGATAAATGCAATGTGATGGTGTAGGACTTATAGGAAAAGTTGGTGGGGAAAAAAATAGTTTTTTTTTGCGAGAAGCCATAACATGTTAGTCAAGATATTTCGTAGTTCAAGTACACCCTAAAATTCTGGTTTTAAAAAGGCTTGAAAATTTTTCTTTCAATCACAGTTTTTTTAATGTTATGTCAGCATGTACCAATATGATAGTCTGTTAGCATGAGAAACATCACAATAGCAAGTAAAATTCTAACATGGCAAAGTTTGTTGACAGAGTCAAACACTGAATATGTTGGGAGACTTATAAATCTAGGGAAAACCAGTTTATCTATTGTATTGTGCTGAAAATAATAATAAAAATATGATACTAATGCTGAATGGTAACATTGAGAAGAGGTTCAAGATTTGAGTTGGGATGTCAAAGGTTAAATACTAATTTAAGATAAGTCCACCCTTCCAAATATACATTTTTTGAGAGGGAAGGTATTGATGAGGTTTTAGTTCATGATTTCCTATTACACAATACATTTAAGAACATCATTACACCATTTATCCATTTCTTTATGTGATAAATTTTTCTTGGAGATACTTATGACTAACTATTCTCAATAATTCCTTCCTCAAGCACAAAAAGTAATTCCAACAGCAAAAGAACAAAAGATAGGACACAATGGTATGGAAATCACCTATTTATACTAGAATCCACCTTTAGAATTTTTACAGAAGTGTCCCAGACAATTAAGGACAGCTAGACATCATTTACATCTGGTAATAGTACTCATTAATAATAACCTGGTAACAGAAATCAGCAACAGCACTTAATATCTGTGATGTAAGTCAAATCATCATATACCATAGGAATATCACTAGGGCATTTGAATTTTAAAAGCTAAAACATCAAGCCTACATCCCTTACCCATCATTGCACGTTCAGCATTGTAGCGTTTTAGCCACTGGATGTCAACATCATCAAGATCATATTTGCATGCTTTCTCTGCCAGAGCAGGTGCTGTTGAAAGTTGATGAAGCTCGCTGGAGAAAAAGTCATCCATAGTGATCCGGATGTACCTCAACTTTGGCCTGCAATGAGCAAGCAAAATCAAATTTGAAACCATCCTTCACATGAAACACCACATAATCAAACACCATCAATGCATACAATCTAAAATCTCCTTCTCGAATGCCGTAAGGAGGGGGGTTCCGCCGCACATGAGGAAGAGGTAGAGTTTCCCGATTTACAGGTACTTGTACTCCTCTTTCCCATTCCTGCTTCCACTGGTCAACCACATGCCAATACTCCCCAGGGGCAAGTGGCTCATTGTCAGGCAGCTTCATGGCACTGATCAAATCCTTCCGGAACAGCTAGAGTGAGATAAATGCAGGTAATACTTAATCAAAAGGCCTCATGATGGAGATAATCATGATTTTACATGTCAAGAGGGGAACTGGGTGCAAGAGAAACAACAAAAATCTTTGCAAGAGAGTTGGGGAGAAAATATTAACTATCTCCATTTTGTGCAGCTTTAGAATGTGCCTGAATGCTCATGACCATGCACTTACAAGTGATATTACATATTACACGATACATGACTTGGATCACACTCAGTAGTTCAAGACTTGGATCACACTCAGTAGTTCAAAGTCCAAAGAGTAAATAAATAAGAATGTACATATTCTTGACTTGGGGGCCAAATCTTTTGAATGTTATAATTAAAAGAGCATATTAAATATAAATTATAACAGTTATCATGATAATATTAGCTATATATAGTATAAATAAAAATATTACAAATATATAGCACGAACTGCAAACAAAAACTTAAAAAGCTGACCTCTGCAGGGGGTTCACTGCCTCTAGAATTTCGGAAGTCAGTGAAATGCTTAGGTGTCCACGAAGGTGTGCTGTTGCTTGGAGTGCTAGAGGCAGCTTTCCCAGCATCTTCATCCTCCGAACCACTGTATCTGCGACGCTTTCGCTTGCTTGCTGGACCTGAGCATTTAAAACAATTGTTTTTTGTTTTTTTTTTATATGTATGCTTACTAGGACAAGCATAACATCAAAAGGTTCTTTGGAACTGATGCTTACCTTCGTCCAGCTTTCCACTGCGTTTGCTCTTCCCACGAGAATTGGAAGCCATACTCATCTGTGACACCACCATCAAAGTGGAGTCCTGTGAGACTTGACTATGATACGTTTCCTTTTTCACATGATGTCACTATACAAAGGAGGACATCTAGCTTCTCTTTCACATTTCATAGCAAACCTCATGTTCACTCAATTTCTTGAGGGGATCCCATAGTATGAAGCAAATAACATTATCTTCATCTGAAATATGAAGGGCAATTTATGAAACTTCTAGGCTCATGCCTTTGGCTAAGCTACAATGGCTAAACCTATCACACACTTTCAGTTGGGTTATCAAGAAGCATTTGTCGAACTGTCAAGAACTGAAACACTGGAGCTAAATGCAAGCCTCGAATATAGGCAGCATCGATCAACGCAAGGCAATCTAACAGAGGTAAGGGCTAAACTGTAATTCTACCTTCACTTGTTTCACTAGAACTAGGGACAACAACCAGGAGAGGAACGCCTGCTAACGAGTTTCGGGGCTGTAACAGACTTGGTGGACGTTGCCTGCGATCACATGTGACAGCGGTAGAACGTAAATTCACTTTCTCGTCCAACTTCTCCCGCAAATTTGTCCCGGAGCCTACAATAACAACTATCGTAGCCTACATAGGACACAGAACAACATATTCCTTCTAATTGTCAATTACGGAAAAAAAATTGCATAAAAATCCTGAGAAACCAACTTCAAGAGCAGAAACCTTCTCAATGAGGAAAACATGCAGGTTCAGTATGGGAACATTGAATTGAACGCAGCTCATGTAATGGCGGACATCACAAACGGACGACATTCGGCAGAGCAGTGATGCACAGCATCGTGTTCTTTTCAATTCTGTGCCATTAAATTATCCATCTTGGTTTTGCTATGACAAATTAAAATATATATCGTGATATGAGTGGATTTTTCTATTAAAGGCAGGTGCCATATTTACTAAATACCATCTATCCGGCATTGGTGGTCCTCTGTCAAAGAACCATAGTATTGATCTTCGATCGCTATGCTGTACGTACTTTAGGATTGTTGAGTTCATTGTGCATATCACTGAAATGGATAGCTGAAGACTTATGTCTTCCGACCATTGTGTGTGTTCAAATGTAACTTATATTTTAAAATATATTACGATGTTACATCAGTCTAGTCATGCTGCCAACATATTTTATAACCAAGGTGTGCTGTCCTGTGGCGTCACTAGAATTGATGAGGATAGCAAATGGCTGCCTACAGCAGCTCTGGTGCGCCAGCATCTCTCCAAAGCCTCTTGGTTTGCCTTGGTGGTCTCAACGAGGATCGACTGAAGCAATTGCGAGAAGATGATGAGGAACTTGAAGCCTTCATGAGAAACACTCATATATTCCAGGATTATGACAATTCTATCGAAGCAGTCATTGCGGAAAATAGTGAATTGGCTGGTAAGCTCGCCCGTCACATTTATTTTAAAGGATTGGCGTAATATTGTGAATACACCTTACTCATGCTAAAATATATTTAAATTTTCAGAAGCCAACTTGAGCCATAAAACTGACCTAAATGAGAAACGGAAAAGGGTGCTGGAGAAGTTCAATGAATATGTCACACTGAAGAAGACACTAGAGGAAAAGTCTGAGAAGTACCGGCAGCTGTCTACGAAGTATTCCCCTGAATCAATACAGGTGACTGGGAATGGGTCAATATTTTCTGCAGCTAATGATAGGTATAGTTTATCTGATAAAAACAGACTCATTCAAAAACCTTGCAGCTCTTTGATATTGCCTCTCGTATGACTTCCATTTCTCATTTATAGGATGTGGTAGAATGGTTATGGAAGGTTATCTTGATGTTGGGCTCCCCTACATGAGCTTTATGTACTACTATCATCCCTGGCTATGGTGTACAACTTTACATCTTCACTAATTTCATCCTTACTCCAACAAGACCTATCATTGCACTGACAGTTTGTGGACCCCCATTATTTTCTCCCAGGTTCAGTGTCAAAGGCCAAAGAGTGAGAAAGTCAACCTATTTCGGAGGATGATGGGTCAGTTGGGTTAGAAAAGGGTTGCAGCTGAAAGCTGTGATTATTTTCTAACCCAACTGACCCATCATTCTAAAAAATAAGTTGACTTTCTCACTCTTCAGCCCAACTCAGAAAGAATGCTCCCTTGGTATGTGTTTATAGTAAGTTCTTATGTGGTGCGCTTGGGTTTAGTGAAAGCCCAAAAGATCTGATGAAACATTAATCAGAGTATCGAGCCCTCAAGGCCTGCCTAATATGGTGGTTGCATTTGACAGGCATACATAATGTACATAGTATTTCATTTCTGTTATTTTGGCAACTGTATTGATAAAACACCGAAACAGTGTGTTTTATGATTGTTGTGATTTTAGATTTTACTTTTGTTCTTTGCAATGAGATTCTAAAAGAAATCCATAAGGGTGTAAAGTTGTACACCATCCCCATCATCCCCTTTGATCCAGATGCAAGTTGACATGGCTCTCATTTTAGCCAATAGACTGGATTAACCTTTTTTTTTTTATAAAAATTTTCATATAATCTTGAGAATTTTGGGTGTTGGACTTTTAGGCATGCTTGTCAGAGGCTGTTCTGCAAAAGGATGAAGAGAGTGAAGATTTTGCTGAGAAGTTTCTCTATGAGGAAATAAGTTTGGATGACTTCCTTCCAGATTACATGTCACTAAGAAAGGTAAGTCCAACATTAATTATGCTGACTCTCTTCATGACATCAGGTGGTTTACGGTAGGTTAAACCTCCTTTAGCAGCACTAAAGGAGGTTTAAAGCTCCATTATGCTAAAGTCAGTTTTACACAATCCACCCATCATCTTTAGTTACAAGTCCGAGTTCTAAAGTACTTGTATTTTAATTCCAGGTCAGTCATCTAAGAAGATTGAAAGAAGAAAAACTGCTGAAACAGCTTGAGCAGCTAAAACAAACTGGACTCTTCTGATGGATGTTCATTCTCTTGGATAACTGTGATATCTACTTGTGGTGATATTCTCAAATATAGGAAAATTTCAGTTCCTTCACTGATAATCCTAGGAAGCACACAGGATTCACCTCATTTTAGCTCCAAATTACAAATGTGGAACAGGCAATGTCCTATTTGAATAGTTGCAAGGGTTGGAAAAAGAAACTAGCCTCAACCTGAATGCACAAAGAAACTGATAGGCTTATTATCATGGATTTGTGTTTTAAAGGAAGTTGTTGAAGAGGGCCCTGAAATGTAAGAAAGAGACAATGATGCTCAAGATGACATCATTTTAGTACTCTGTCCATGTGAACAAAGGTCAAGAGATTTTCAGAATGAACATTTTTATTCATGTGAAGGGAGCAACCTTAGACCTGGTAGTTTTGAAAGAACTACTGACTTTTTTTTTATGTCATCCCCAGTTCTGGCACCAAAAATGAAAAATCTCACCCTGCAGATCCAAGATGCTATCCTGTTATGATCATCATAGTTGCCTCATTCCAAGCATCAGTTTATTCATTACCTTGAAATTCTGTCCATAGACAATTGTTTGATCACATACGGGACACAGGTCTCAATCCCAGAATATTGAAGCATGCAGCCATGATGGAAGCAGTGGCTTCACAGAGTGCAAGGCGATTCATGTGCACCTTCACAATTTCTCCTGTTAAAAGAAAAATCTTATAACAATATTGTATTGAGAGACAAGACTGCACTAATAATTTTAAAAAAGGGAGGTTAATTCATCATGGCTCACCATCATCTAGGTACTAGTTCCAGAACAAAGCTACAAGATGATTAAAACAAAATTGATTTAGAGAGCAATTCACATGGAAGAGGCAGTAAACCTACATTTTGGCCACATATTTATGTGATTTTCCTCATATACGGGGAGCATGGGACTACCCAGAATTACCTTTGATAAAACTCTTGGTAATTCAAGAATTTTGACCTGGATGGATGTGAGGGAAAAACAAAACTCATCAGAATTTCTATGAGGGCTGAAGGAGCAGAAGCATACATTAAGTGATCCCATGCAAACTCACTGGGACTCTTGGAGGCACATTGGTCTACCCCACTAGTGCAATAATCTCTAAGGATTTGCCTTCCATTTTTTCTTTAACGAGGGCCAATATGGCAGATACACAAGGCAAAATAATTTTGTTTATTACTACATGTAGAGGAGGAAAGTTGCATGGTCAAGTTACAGTTCCTCATGGAGGGACATGCTTCTACAGTCCTGGAGAAGGCTCTAAGGCAGCCATGACATTTTTTTTGCAGGGATACTACATCTATACCTCCTAGCTATGGCACACAATGCATATTTTTATCTCAATGCAATGCAGTTACTCTCTAGAAACTATCAAACCCTGTTGACATTCATCCTTTTACTACAAGTTCCACTTCTGAATTCAACAACACTCTGCATTTGAATACTACAAGGGTTGTATGAAAAGTAATGCCTCTACTTCCATAATTTTTCAGCAATAGCGCTAGTAGTGTGAAACAAGTTTTGACACGTTCTGTGACTCATTGTCTGACGCCTCATTCATTGGCAAGTCATTACAGTGAACGGTTGGTTTTTCATTGCAGTTGAAATGTAGGCTTCCCATGACCCACTTGTCATTGTGATTTAAGCATTTTGCTTTGATCAAATTTTTGACCACAAGAGTGGCTCCAATTGATATTCATAGACAAATGCAAGTTGTTTATGGTGATGAATGTGTTGACGAGAGCACTGTGCATTGTTGGGTCAAAAAGTGTAAAGATGATGAACCAGAAAAGTGTATTTGCAACCTGATTCTTGTGAGATTTGTCGCTTGCCGTCACAGGTCTCCCACTTCGCTGTTGGTCGCACAAATCTGCTTTTCCTGGTTCACCATCTTAACACTTTTTTGACCCAACAATGCAGTGCTCTCGTCAACACATTCATCACCATAAACAACCTGCATTCGTCTATGAATATCAATTGGAGCCACTCCTTCTGCTTTCAAAAATTCAATTACAGCACGGTGCTTAAATGACGATTATGAGTGGGTCATGGGAAGCCTCCATTTCAACTGCAATGAAAAAACAACCTTCACTGTAATGACTTGCCAATGACTAAGGTGCCAAACAATGAGTCATAGAACTTGTCAAAACTTGTTTCATGCTACTACTAGCGCTACCTGTTGAAAAATTATGGAACTAGAGGCATTACTTTTCATTTAACCCTCATAGTTTCACAAGCAAAGACATATCCTGAAGTTGGTAAACTTCAGGATATCTGCATGTTCAACAAAACATGCAACAGGGTGATTCAATTCAACACATGACCAACATATGATTAAGGAAATGTGAAATAAATGAAAACATGTTTTCATTTATTTCACAAACTCCAAAAATAGTTTAATGTTTCCACTTTATAATTTCTTGATGCAATTACATTGCATCAAGCCTCCATATGGCCATGTCTAATTTAAAGAATTATAACGCACTTTTCATAGCTACATTAGCCAGCACATCCTACCTACTACATTGTATCCATTTGTGGACTATTGTGTTCCATTGGGCCTTAATTGTCCAGTTAAATGAAGATCTGCATTTGAAAAACCAAGCAAAGAACTTCACAAAACTAGGAAGATTAGATGCAAAGACTGATTATCCACTACTGCTGAAGAAATGATTGTTAATGCTGTTAATGATAAGCGACTTTCAGATGGTCCAAGTTTGAAACTGGAGCTGCATTGGTAAGCTGATGAAATATCTCTCTTCACAATTAAATTCTTAAGGTTCTTGGAAAGCATAATCCTCTCAAGTGCTTGAGTTGCTTGTTGCTATAGAATTTCTCATTAATTTTCATTTAAACTCATTTGTTACTACATGGCACTCACTAACAGGCTATTCATGTGAAAATGTCTCTCACAACATTAGCAGCAGTTGATGGGCCAACATTCACTAAGACTGCTTAGGTGGGATGACAGAGAGATTGTAACTCCTTGCTTTGATATGACAATATATAGCTAGATTTTGCATTGGAGATAGTCAGCAAACCCTAGAGGAACCTCCAATCCCATACATGAATGAAAAGCCATTGGTCATAATGAAAAATAGAGAAAAAAAAAAAAGTGGACAGCATTATCCCCCCCCCCCAAAAAGAAAACTGCAATTGACTCAGCAGTCTAAAGAGAAGGAAACTGAGATAGGGTAACACCTCAACAAACCTGTTTTTCGATCCTTCTCAATACAGTAGCAAGCTTCATAGAAGTCTGTGAAAGTGTTTGATAGGCCATATACATATTCACACAGGGTGTGAAGGCAAAGGTCATCAAGGAGTCGAACCAGTACTTCTGGAAACTGCATGATTGTCTTGAGAGGAAATACTGATGCTATTTAAACAGATTCTCCAAAATGCCAAGCACAACCAGAATTATACTTGCAAGAATTATACCTTAGCCAATTTTAGCTCCTTTGGATGATCCAAGTTCAACTGTTGATCTTTCATGGATGCCTTTATGTCTTCTGATGAGACTCCAGCTGTCCGAGCAATGGAACATATTCGTGTGTAGGCATATAGCAAATAAGCAGCTGTATTCCCTTTGTCCTCCAACATCTATGTAGAATGGTCCAACAAAATATATCTTCAGCATTGTGGATTATTTATTAAGTTTCAGCAGGATAATATGGAGCCTACCTTGTCAAAGCTGAAGACATACTCGTGGTTCCGGTTGTGAACAAGGTCATTGTACTTGATACATGCATAAGCAACATTTTCCTGAGCAGCTTTGAACTCTTCACTGGTGAGGACATCCTGCCGACCCTTCTCTTGAAGTTTCTCACCAGTACGCTTGACCCCTTCATCCAAGAGATCGATCAATCTCACTGTTTCCCCTGATCGTGTCTGAAACTTCTTCTTGTCTTCACCCAGAACTACACCAAAGCCAACATGGTCCACTCTTATTTGGCTTCGATCCAGCCAACCTGCTTGTTCTGCACAGTCAAATATTGTGTGCAGGTGGGTACTCTAGGAAGAAATCACAAGTAAATTGAGTATGAGAATGTCTCATTCTTTTATACACCAATTCCAGTTGACTGACTCACCTGCCCTGCATCAGTAAGATAAATCAACCAGTCTGCTTTCTCTTCTTCCAGCCGCTGTTTGATGGCTGCCATGTCAGATGTATCATAGGTGAATCCCCCATCTGATTTAACCACTGTCAAGGGTGGTGCAGAGAGCTTTTTTGGAAACATTACATGCCTCCCTTCATCTTCAACAAGGAAGTTCTTTCTTTTCAACTCCTCCACAACTTTTACCATCCTGCTCTGATAAAATGACTCGCCTCGATCAATGATTCTGACATCCAACCGTTCATATACCTTGGAAAACTCCTTCTTTGAGACATCACAGATCAGGGTCCAAGCTTTCACATAGTCAGGGTCACCAGACTGAAGCTTCACAACACAGGAATAAGCCTGCTTCTTGAACTTGTCATCACCATCAAATCGAACCTTGGAGGCCTACAAGTTAAAACCAGGAATTCCATTTCCTGACCAACAAGCCACCAACTTACTACTTTGCTAAGTTTAGCACCCATTCATTATCTAGGAAAATTGGATCTGAATAAGTAATAACCAATAAATTTTGATAGATTTTTTGTCCAGCAAATATCATCTGCATTTTTTAATATTGATCATAACAAATTGATTTGAAAATGTGTAACTCTAATATCACTGTCATGTGGTTCATCTATTACAATTAGGCCAAATGTGTGGAAATGCTTCCATTAACTGATCTATACCCTGTACTGATACAGTGTTTTTCACCCAAATCAGACATTTTTTCACTTGACTTCAACACTCGTACACTCAGATCGTCCCATGCACAAATGTCTGAGTCAAGTGAAAAACACTCAAAGAACACTGTCAACTAAGGAAAGGTTTCCAAGCAAGCACCAGAATATTGAGCTATTATTTCGCAACAGTTAGTATTAGCTGACATTTGCAGATTGCCAACTTCTAGCATCTTTACATAATAGGGAGGAATTGTAAACCAAATTCAGCATATGCCTCTTTCTCTTCTATAAGGAAAACTTGAGGAAAATGTTTACTTTGTAGAAAGCTTGAAGGTCACCAATGGGTGGAACTTCTTTCTGGTAATTGGGAAATTCATCCTGTAAATGGGCAATGAGCATTCCAAACTGAGTCCCCCAGTCCCCTAGATGATTGATGCGCAAGACATCATGACCAAGGAACTCCAAAAGGCGACTAATACTATCTCCAATAATGGTTGACCTGTGGGGAGAGAAAAGAAAAAAGGCTAATCATTAAGGAACTTATACAGCTATCTTCTATGTATCCAAAACTTCAAGGAAAGTTTATTTTCCTACTGGAAATTTATAGGAGCATTCTTTTGCTAGGAAATATGAAAAACACCCAGACACTTATATACCTGAGATGTCCAACATGCATTTCTTTTGCAACATTTGGAGAAGAGAAGTCCACAACAACTCTCTTCCTTCCACTGAGCCTGGGAGGTTGAACACCATGAAGAACCAGCTGGTGTAAACACTTAAGAATGTATCCACAGCTCACAGTAATGTTGATGAACCCTGGACCTGCAACCTCCAGCTTCTCTATAATTGGATCATCACCTAATGCAGTTTTCACCTTCTCTGCTACTTCTCTTGGATTCAGCTTCTCCCCATGGGATTTCAGGAGCTGAAGAGAAGTCGACAACTTATGACTACTTTTGTAATGCTGAAAAAAGGCAAAAAATCATCTCAGACATAACCACTAAGCCACAGCATATGATACGCACAAAAGTTTCATAGGAAAGGGTCACTGATGTATATACTATGAGTGGTATGATGCCAATGAGTATATATCAGTGCCATCACATAAAAATTTAGTTTGAACATAAATCAAAATTGCTGGTTTGCTAAGGAAATCCACCCCCCCCCCCCCCCACAGCAATTTTTAAAATGATTCAGTCTGAAGTTGGGGACAGACAGTTAATCACTTCTTTGGTTAACTGTCTAACTGACAGTTAACCCTAGAAGTTTGGACTTCATGACAGCCAAGATGGTCCACTTTACTATGGTAATAACAAAACTATTGTAAATGACATCTAGTCTATTGTACAGAATTTAATTTGCCCATAAATTGAGTTCATTCCTCCATCCAATAAAAAAAAAGGTAGGCATAGGCAATGGACCAAGACATAACTACTTGACTGATAAAAATTCATCCTAAGGACCAGTCATGATTCAATATCACCTCAGAATAAGTACGTACAAATGGAATGCACCAGAGTGCCTTGAGTTTATCCAAACCAACCCAGTGACCCCAAGAGACAAGCTAACATTCCTAGAGTGGCTGAAAATTTAGAAAATTAAAGTCAAGTAGTCTCCTTTAAATTCCAGTCATTCTTAAAATGAAATTTGGACAAACTCCCAAATTTTGACATTTGAGAGTTTCTCTACTGATTTGAATAAACTTAGCTCACTCTGCAGTGTTTTTGGACTGACTTTTACTGGCCTATTTCCCATCCTTTGTGCTGCTGTCAATGGTGCTGGAGAAAAAATATAGTAATTGCAATCATCACTAATTATGAAAGTTATACTGATGAGCTCCCTCCCCAAGCAAGGGAACTAATGCACTACTCAACTGTAGAACCCTAAGGAAAGCACAAAGCACATATAAATGGGATTAAAAGTCAATCCAAAAACACTGCAGAATAATTAGGCTCAAAATGGGCCAATTGAGTAAAATGGTGATATCTGGATCACTTTGACCAGACATAGTGAAAAAATTAAGTTTGACACCCCAGTATCAAAGCAGGTTGGTGGGTTAGTTCCAAGCAGTCCAGCCAGGAAAATATTCCCAATCTAATCCTCAACTATTGGTTACAGCCTGTATAGACCAACAATGAAGTTTGGGAGAGAGGATCTCAACTGTAACATCCAAGGCATCTCTCCCTAATTCCATGATATGAAGAGCATTTTGGGGGAAGGTGAAAGGTTGGATGCCCTCTGTTTATTTGCTTAGGAGTACACAGTAAAGGAAGTATTTCATATACTAGTACTTTACCTGAGATATCCCCATGGCAGAATTAAACTGATAGTCCCCAAACTTTGGATTACTTGCAGGTAGGATTGCAATTGGTGGATCATCCAGCTTGGGAAAGGCTTTCTTGACAGCCTCATGGAAAGCAGTTGATAATAAACCAATAATATTGTTCATATGGTCACCTTCTGCATGCTTTTTAGGGGACCTCCCATTCTCCATACTCTAAAGGAGTAATGAATGTACAGAAAAAAGTCACTTTGCAAGCTCAAGATTTTTTACTGCAACCACCAGTATCTACCCTCTTCATAATGCTCAGTCGATATTTGAGTTTCTTGTTCTCTGCAGACAATTTTTCGAGGTCAGCAGCTAGATCATCAGGGATGGGAATGCCTTCTGCAAGGTAATCACTGCCAGGGTTCTGCAGAAGACTCTCCAACTGTTCTATTTGCACTCTGAGGGCATGGGCTTCATGTTCCTGCAAAATCCCCATGAAGAGAATTGCCTTCTGAAAATTTGATAAGCCAGAATTGAAACAGACCACTCACAGCTTTATCTGCTCTTTCAATGAAAGCTTTCAGCAATGCAGAGTTTGCAGGAGTGCCTGAATTCATCTCATTCATTGAAAAAGAATAATTCTGAGACACACCGTGGCCTAAATTCTGTTATCCCTGCAAGAGAAAATCAAAGGAAACATACAAAAATATTGTTATGCAGGTATTGTCAGTAGCATTTTGCACAATTGATGACTTTGATTCTCTAGATCAATGCTTCCCAACCCAGGGTTGTGACCCCATTTGGGATCGCAAACTGGCAACTAAAAACCTAGTTATGTTTTTCTTTGTGGTTTTAGGGCATAGGTGGGGGGGGTGTCTGTCGAACTTTGGCCAGTTCTTGGGGTCATGAATGGTATGATCATGATTTATGGGGTCACACATGAAAAAAGTTGGGAAGCCCTGCTCTAAATGGTTCAAATGTATATGAAAATGAAGGGATAAGTGCATCAGCCTAGGCTTAAATACAGCTCTGGTCTCTAGGAAACTTGGTGCAAATGGACTGCAGCAATTATGTTTCACCTTTAAAGAAAAGGTTGAAACACATTTTCCAGACAAGTGTCAAATTTTATTGAAAAAGACTGCTGCACCATTAAGCAAAATTGAAAGATTGGGATCCTAGAATATGCTTGCATGCATATTTTAGGACTCCAATTTAGGATTAGTTGTGTATACATGGTTTTAGTTTCTAAACAGGGTTGCACAACTTTTGAAATGCACTGTAGATGCGATAAAGTACATATATTTTGGTCGCCGCTAGACAGCATGAAGAGTGATTTTGAAGTCCCACGTCATCACAATACCTTAACTCCAACTATTGGCCCTAAGCCTACTTTCAACCAATATGCAATCGAGTAGCAAAACCAAATTTGAACGCTGAAGCTTTTTCAATTACTAAAGTGCTGTCCAAAAACCCCTGTGGCCTAATCAGAAAAAACCACAAGCAAAATTCCTCATAGGCATGTGCTTAAGCCAAGGCTTGTACTGGACATAAGTTAGCGTTCACGGCGTTGGACCAAAATGACCTTGCGTCCTTGGCTCCTTTGACAATCGCGGTGAGTGCATAGCAAGACGACTGCTTACAGTATATGATAGAAAAGAGGGTCTAAGGTAGTCGTATCTCTAAGACGAAGGATGTGACAATCGTGGCTTCCGGGAAACGTCCAGCCACGTGGTCACGATATGGGTGCCGAGAGCCACCGTTGGAATGAGACCACTTGTCACTGCGCACGAGTCGAGACGCTTTTATGACGTCACTTGCCATGGAGGAAACGATTGATCTTCGGTGCGCTGTAGATTGCATGTAACGTTAAAGATTTTATAAGTTTTCCTCAAGTTCTCCTCACTGGATGAGCGTCCTAGCCTGCGAGATTCCTTTGGTTTTAGTTCACTCGCTTGGAGGTTCTTTACAGTTAGGATAGTACCTGTGAATCATGCGTGTGAACCTGGTAAGACTTGACCCATAAAATATTCCTAAGGCCTAACCCTCGAATAGACCTGGGTATTCATTACCAATAACTCCTTTCATTTTCAAGCTGATTTTGCTCGCTTTTAGGTTGAGTCTGTGTGTTTTACTATTGGGAAACTTGGGAGGACTAAGAAGTCAACTTATATTTGCTAGTCTTGACTTCACATTGACTCGTAACGTTGGGTTATTGTCGTCTAACATTAATTTTAGGCCTTGCATGCTTGCGTAATACTACTCTGATATTGAAGCCCACCCTACAGTGGTTTGGAAGGCTAAGACTTTGAGACTCTTAACCTTTTATGCTAGTTGAGCATAATCTCAGACCTTAAATTTTTCATGGAGTTCTCCAACTAGTCCATCAGCTTCAAAATAGAAAATATTCATTTCAAATAGCTTAATCGTGAAGTACATGACCCACCAGCAACTTCAGTCCCCCTCATGGCTGCTGATAGTGAAGCTCCATTGTCAACAACAGGAATACCACCCCCTGCATATGAAGATGTGAGATTTGAAGAGGGGACAACTTCAGAGGGAGCCACTGCCCGTCCAGATTATCAACAGAATCAGTCATCTGCTACGGCAAGTTGAGCTGCCTCATCAGAATGAATGGCAAACTCCCTGCTATAGAACTATATTTGCCCCTCTTTTGCAACTGATTTAGGTCTTTACATTGCTGAGAAGTATTCATTCCTATATTTCATATTTCAGAATGAGGATGATGAGTCCATCCCACCACCTAAGGTTGACTGTACAGCTCCTCCTACCTATGAGGTAGCAACATCTCTGCCTTCATACGATGAAGTGAGGCGACAGAAGTATTTTGAGGAACATCCTCAGGTAGGCTTCATACACTTCTCTTGATGGAAAATGTGTTTTTTATTTAATCGAATCCCACATATGTAGCGTTTTCCACTTGAGTCAAATATTTTTTTATTTGACTTCAATACTCATGCATGAGGAACATCCCATGCACAAGTGCCCAAGTCAAGTGAAAGTCACTGTATGAAGCCAAGTTGTCTTTGTATTAGTATGTTTTACATTCACTTTTAGGCTGCAAATGCCCGATATCCACCATACTGGAGGACTTTTCTTCATGTGGATTTGGATGGAGCTACTGAGCAGGATGAGGCTTTATTGGGGACTGACTTCATCTTTTTTGCCTCATTTTTTGGTAGGTGTTCCTCAGTGGCAGCTTATCAGATGAGTCAAGGCAGGCCCACCTTCCCAAACATTTATGCTATGGAAAATTTTTAAATATTGTTTTTGAAAGATATTATATTGTTTCAATTCAAAAGAAAGTGCTATCGAACACAGATTATATGCCCACTAAATAGAGCTTACATAATCCAGTTAATCAATTCCAGACAGTGGGCAACTTATCCTATGGTTTTATTTTACCCTTTAGATATAATGTGAACCTCATTGTAGGCTGTATTGGAGGTAGGCCAGAACTTCTGATGAAAGTGGATGTATGATTTTGTCAGAGAAAACCAAACTGGAGAGTGTGAATTTTAATTTCAGTCACGTTGATACTACTTCCACTTGGTTACATATACAAGCTAAAGCAATACTTTGGCTTCAATGCTCATGTTCAGAGTTGTCATTCCCCCCCCCCCCCCCCCCCCCCCCCCCCCCCCCCCCCC